AGAGACACTGACAAACCAATATAACTGGCAACGAGCCCAGCAGACGGCGACAAGCCTCTCAGAGACACTGACAAACCAATATAACTGGCAACTAGCCCAGCAGACGGCGACAAGCCTCTCAGAGACACTGACAAACCAATATAACTGGCAACTAGCCTAGCAGACGGCGACAAGCCTCTCAGAGACACTGACAAACCAATATAACTGGCAACGAGCCCAGCAGACGGCGACAAGCCTCTCAGAGACTCTGACAAACCAATATAACTGGCAACGAGCCAAGCAGACGGCGACAAGCCTCTCAGAGACACTGACAAACCAATATAACTGGCAACGAGCCCAGCAGACGGCGACAAGCCTCTCAGAGACACTGACAAACCAATATAACTGGCAACTAGCCTAGCAGACGGCGACAAGCCTCTCAGAGACTCTGACAAACCAATATAACTGGCAACTAGCCTAGCAGACGGCGACAAGCCTCTCAGAGACACTGACAAACCAATATAACTGGCAACGAGCCCAGTAGACGGCGACAAGCCTCTCAGAGACACTGGCAAACCAATATAACTGGCAACGAGCCTAGCAGACGGCGACAAGCCTCTCAGAGACTCTGGCAAACCAATATAACTGGCAACGAGCCCAGCAGACGGCGACAAGCCTCTCAGAGACACTGGCAAACCAATATAACTGGCAACTAGCCTAGCAGACGGCGACAAGCCTCTCAGAGACACTGACAAACCAATATAACTGGCAACGAGCCTAGCAGACGGCGACAAGCCTCTCAGAGACACTGACAAACCAATATAACTGGCAACGAGCCTAGCAGACGGCGACAAGCCTCTCAGAGACACTGACAAACCAATATAACTGGCAACGAGACCAGCAGACGGCGACAAGCCTCTCAGAGACACTGACAAACCAATATAACTGGCAACTAGCCTAGCAGACGGCGACAAGCCTCTCAGAGACACTGACAAACCAATATAACTGGCAACTAGCCTAGCAGACGGCGACAAGCCTCTCAGAGACACTGGCAAACCAATATAACTGGCAACTAGCCTAGCAGACGGCGACAAGCCTCTCAGAGACACTGACAAACCAATATAACTGGCAACTAGCCTAGCAAACGGCGACAAGCCTCTCAGAGACACTGACAAACCAATATAACTGGCAACGAGCCTAGCAAACGGCGACAAGCCTCTCAGAGACACTGACAAACCAATATAACCGGCAACGAGCCAAGCAGACGGCGACAAGCCTCTCAGAGACACTGACAAACCAATATAACTGGCAACTAGCCTAGCAAACGGCGACAAGCCTCTCAGAGACACTGACAAACCAATATAACTGGCAACGAGCCAAGCAAACGGCGACAAGCCTCTCAGAGACACTGACAAACCAATATAACTGGCAACTAGCCTAGCAAACGGCGACAAGCCTCTCAGAGACACTGACAAACCAATATAACTGGCAACGAGCCCAGCAGACGGCGACAAGCCTCTCAGAGACACTGACAAACCAATATAACTGGCAACGAGCCAAGCAAACGGCGACAAGCCTCTCAGAGACACTGACAAACCAATATAACTGGCAACGAGCCAAGCAAACGGCGACAAGCCTCTCAGTCGGCACCAAGCATGGCCGACGGCGACAAGCCTCTCAAAATGGCGACAAGCCTCTCAAGTGGCGGCAAGCCTCTATCGGCGCCAAGCCTCTGAAAAGGCGACGAGCCTCTCCTATAGCAACGAGCCTGCAGACAGCGAGGATCTGCCCCATGGCACCGAGCCATACAATGACCTGAAACATTTAGAATAGATTAAAGTACAATATCAAAACTTTTCAGAAGTATCCATGACGCAATGTATACTTGGTGCACAACAAGCGAGAATGACAATTCAAATATCATACGCCTTATATACTCTCATTAGGCGCCACCTACAACTGAATTACACCCCTTAGTTGTATTCCCCGTCCCTGAAACGATAAAAAACCCATTTACTCCCTTTGTACAACAGTATTGTGTCAGTACACATACCTGCCCTGAATTCAGAATCCAGTGTTCGATTTTGGTTAGCGTGTTGCTGTCTCTCAAATGCAATCTAACTCGATTCACTGATCAGATACAAGACGATTAACATAGCGTTGGGGTGAGATGTGAATGTCATGATGACTCCTGGTCCTTATTAAAGCTTATATTTTACTTATGTAATGTAACTTCTTTGAGAGGCATTTTTAGAAGTTGTATAGGTGAAGGACAACCAAGTTCTATGGATAGTCAACTTCTTTATTGCAATGACTATCCATAGAACTTGGTTTTCCTTATGTCATGTATACTCATCTGTTCAATGACAGACAACAACACACGCTGGCCGTGGTCTATAAACATTGTAATTTAAAATAAACAAGTAAACACCAGGCGTTCAGGCTAAGCATGTCCTGTTTAACTGACACATGCACGACATCAATAGTGATGTACAACAGGCAACACCTACTGACCACATTAAGCAGACTTACACTCACTGTCTGGAATAAAGTAACGTTATCTTAACCTTGAGGTATCAAGAAAAGATGGGATAATACTATACTTCCCTATGAGAAATGTTGGCTACATTATAAAAAATACACGTAAAAATAACATACATGACAAATATATGAACGACTTTAAGCATGTAGTATCTGTACAACACGGAAATCATGTTCTATAAATAACAGTAATGGTCTGAAACAGAACTGCTTAAAAACAACACGTCACAATTTATATTTACAGAAGCACTGAGCACCTAGAGCATAAGACTGGTGATACAGGTCAGGATCGAGTGATGACTGAAAATATTTTTTTATTGCATGATATGAAATGTGTACAATTCAAATTGTGTTGTGAAAGCTCTACATTTTGTGTGTGGGAATTAATTAATTAAATAAATAAATAAATAAGTAGAGATATAAATAAGATATAAAAATAAAAATAATAATAATATGACTGAAAATATTGTCAAAAATGCCGCTTTGCAACAATCTGCGAATGATCCAGAGTTCTATCATTGTGATGTGATGTGGCTTCATACAACAACACACAAACACTACCTTGTGTTGGAAACTGTGTATCTGGCATACTGCTTCAATAATACATTGATTCATGAAACAGAATAGAATTTACAGGAAGATAAGCCTCAGTTTCAGGAGCTTATTTCTAATTGTGTTAACGTACAACATGTGAAATAACTCAGTGCAATTATGGTAATATGACTCGTGTTTTCTGGTGAAAACTATATCAATGATATGCGCGTACGTACAGAAAGTATTAAAACATACACGTCGGAACAGTCAAAACTAGGAAATTGTTGAATATGAAATCTTGCTTTTCATTTGTAATTCTTGTAGTATCAACAGTATTGTGCGGGCTTTAAACTGCATGGGATTATGTCTTGTCAATCCCATTGACATTCGCCAATAACCACTTCCAAATACATTGTACTAACACAGCAAAATTTGAATTGACCCACACAAGAATGAATAATAGCCCCTTATTTCCAATTGTCAACCTATAAACCCACACCAATATAAACGCACCTGACACTAACACGTGTATGCACCATTACACTAACATCAGTATGTGCCCAACACTCATATCTGTATATACCCGAAGCCCACACCTTTAAAAGCCTGGCACTAACACATGTATGTACCTAACACTCACACCTGTATGTTTCTGACAGAAACACCTGTATGTACCTAACATTAACACCCGTATCTACCCAACACTAACACCTGCATGTACATAACACTAACATCTGTATGTACCTGACCCTAATACCTGTGTGTACCTGACAGTAACACCTGTATGAACCTGACACTAACATCTGTATGTACCAAACACTAACACCTGTATGTACCTGACCCTAACACCTGTATGTACCTGACACTAACACCTGTATGTACATGCCACTAACACCTGTATATACATAACACTAACACTGTATGAACCTGTGTATGTACATGACACAAACTTCTAACACCTACCACCTGTATGTACATCACACTTACATCTGTATGAACCTGACAGTAACACCTGTATGTACATTACACTTACATCTGTATGAACCTGACACTTACACCTGTATGTACATGACACTAACATCTGTATGAACCTGACAATCTGTATGAACCTGACACTAACACCTGTATGTACCTGACACTAACACCTGTATGAACCTGACACTAACACCTGTATGTACATGACACTAACATCTGTATGAACCTGACACTAACACCTGTATGTACATTACACTAACATTTGTATGAACCTGACACTAACACCTGTATGTACATTACACTAACATCTGTATGTACCTGACATATCTGCTTGTCGTAAGGGGCGACTAACCGGATCGGGTGGTCAGGCTCGCTGACTTGGTTGACACATGTCATCAGTTCCCAATTGCGCAGATCGATGCTAATGATGTTGATCACTGGATTGTCTGGTCCAGACTCGATTATTTACAGACTGGCGTTATGCAGCTGGAATATTTCTGAGTGCGGCGTAAAACTAAACTCACTCACTGTATGTACCTGCCATTCACACCTGTATGTTCCTGATACTAACACGAGTATGTATCTGACATTCACACGTGTATGCACGCGACACTAACACCTGTATGTACTGGACCCTTACACCTATATGTACCCGACACTAGCACATGAATGTACCCAACACTAACACCTGTATGTACTGGATCCTAACACCTGTATGTACCCGACAATAACAACTGTATGTACTGGACCCTAAACCCTGTATGTACCTGACACTAGCACATGAATGTACCCAACACTAACACCTGTATGTACTGGACACGAACACCTGTATGTACCAGACAATAACACCTGTATATACCGGACACTAACACCTGTATGTACTGGACAATAACTACTGTATGTACATAACACTAACATCTGTATATACCCGACATTCACACCTGTAAAATAAATATTATGTGCTGCTTCAGAACCAATAAAGGTCAAAACACTGACACCTCCTACTGAGGACGACACACGTCACCTGTCACGAGGTAAGGGCCTTGTCACACCCTCACCACAGACATGTGGAAGGAAACACATAGCATTAGCACTCTAAAAAAACTCTTATTTGAACATTTTGATAAACATGCATTGTGTACGTAAAGTTGATAGCTGTCTTTACGTAACATGACATACAATACATAATCCAATTTTATTTACATAAAATGTTTATAGCACTAAAAGTGTCCATTTTCTTTTTGAAAATGATTGATCATGTCGTTTAAATTAAATAACTTTACCATATCTTTGAAGAAATTCTCGCAATTTAGCTAACTTAGTTCTATTGAATATGCTGGTATCATGACATCACAACAGCTACTAAATTTTAAACTCGGTTTATTTGCCTTCAAAGATTTGTAAATTGTATATTGTATTTTCAACACAGTGTACGTCACTATCTATGTAACTGTATTATTGTTAGGGGAGGGCATTGATATAAGCATGTTTATGCTTGTTTGCCAAGCCCGTCATGATTACTTGAATAAATATGTTCAAACCATACATTAAAATATCAATAGCATCAATATGTATTAAAGTTATCTTTATATTAGGCTATGAGGAATACAAAATATATTCAAGATTGATTTTGCTTTTACTTTTTTAAAAATTATCGTTTTTCACAGTCGAAAAGATTTACCTTGACTTCGTTGTGTACACGTCCGTGCACGTGGTTGTGGTCTCCATGTATTTTAGAAATTATGTCGTTCACAGCTGAGACTGTTGATCTGCAGTCTTTCTGAATGCATTTCCACGACATCAGTTCTCCCCTTTTAGGACAAAAACCGATCTGTACAAAGTCCCATAGGACAAAATGTCAGCAAACTGCGGACAAAATTCCAACAGTGTCAAAAATGACATACAATTTAAACAAAATACAAGATGAGGTAATAAAACAAGATGAGATAATATTATACTTCCCTCTGAGATATTTTGTCTACATTGTAAAAAATACACGTAAAAATACCACACATGACATATATATGAACAAGTTTAAGCATGTAGTATCTGTACAATACGGAAACCATGTTCTAAACATAAGTAACAATAATGGTCTGAAACAGAACTGCTTAAAAAGTTAGCAATAAAATTGTACATAGTGTGACAGCTTGATTCCTGAGAGTTTCTAGGATTTCAGCCCGTGATACATATGGTCTCACCTTAAGCAAGAGAGTTTGTTAAAAAATGCCTCTGTTCACCCAGTAGAAAATGGGTACCTGGTGAAATAAGTCGTGAGACTATCAACCTTCTAGCGCCTCACAGGCAGCTTGGGGTATCAGGGGTAGTAATTGAAATGTATCTCACTTGTAAGCGGGGTACATTGAAAATAATAGAAGAGCGCTCAGCCAATCAGAAAGCGACATTTATGTGTGAGGTAAGATAAGGGGCGTTGTAAATATTCTCATTATCATTATGATTGTGAAAAGCTCGGAGAAAGGATTATGATGAGTATACAATGCAGGTTAAACCTCCAAAATGTAATAGAAGGCATCGTCTAAGAAATATATAACAGTAATTGTATTATATACAACTGTTCAATAAACTAAAAATATATTAATATTAAAAGTTCGGATACAGTCTGCGATAAAACATTGGCAAAGATAACATCAAGTCTGTAAGGTATTAACATTGGAACCCTCACACTGGACACAATGCTGCATATGTCCTCAACATTTCAGGTGTTGCAGGAGAATGTGACTCCACGACCCCGTCGAAGGTGAAGAAGTGTGTAGTCGAGTCGGAACTCTTCAAGGATTCCGAACTACCGAGGAATATGTCGACAGTTTCTACATTTTGCAGGTAAGTTTCGCAGTTAAAAGTACACTATAACAGTGTCATGTGATCATATCGTGGATAAGGCACTGTCGCCAAAAGGTAGTGTGGCCATCTACGTGTCTATCTACATACGTTGTGGTAGTGTCTTGAAGTAGTATACCTACTATCACATACGTTGTGGTCGTATCATGCAGTAGTGTACACTTGTGGTCATATCTTGAAGTAGTATACATGTTCACAACTATATAGCAAATTGTATCTTGCAGTAGAATACAGGACTAGCACATACGCTGTGGTCGCATTTTGAATTAGTATACACTACTATCACATACGTTGTGGTCGTATCTTGAATTAGTATACACTACTATCACATACGTCGTGGTCGTATCTTGAATTAGTATACACTACTATCACATACGTTGTGGTCGTATCTTGAATTAGTATACACTACTATCACATACGTTGTACGTATCGTGGTCGTATACACTTTACATACGTCGTGGTATACTATAACACGTTGTGGTCGTATCTTGAATTAGTATACACTACTATCACATACGTTGTGGTCGTATCTTGAAATATAGTATACACATACGTTGTGGTCGTATCTTATCACATACGTTGTGGTCGTATCTTGAATTAGTATACACTACTATCACATACGTTGTGGTCGTATCTTGAATTAGTATACACTACTATTACATACGTCGTGGTCGTATCTTGAATTAGTATACACTACTATTACATACGTTGTGGTCGTATCTTGAATTAGTATACACTACTATCACATACGTTGTGGTCGTATCTTGAATTAGTATACACTACTATCACATACGTCGTGGTCGTATCTTGAATTAGTATACACTACTATAACTTGCGTTGTGGTCGTATCTTGCAGTAGAATACAGGACTATTACATACGTTGTGGTCGTATTTTGAAGTAGTATACACAACCATAACATACGTCGTGGTCGTATCTTGCAGTAGAATACGGGACTAGCACATACGTTGTGGTCGTATCTTTGAATTAGTATACACGATGACACAATATACACCTAACACATTCCTTCAGCGACACTCATATGTGATAGATAAGTGATCTGATATAGGTAGAGGGATACAATGTTATTTACATATGTGTTTCAAAGATAATGTTAAGATCATGTCTTGTAGATGCTGTACTGTGTTTCAGTGCCAATAACGGCCTTCAAAAATTAACCGCGTGCATGGTGGATGTGGTCAACCAATGCATTGGTGACGAGAAGCAGAGTATGCTGGTCAGTCAACTGATTGACAAAGAGAAGTACATGAATGGTCTCGGGCAAATGTGCAACTACACAAGTGCATGTGAGTGGATCTACTTATACCTACTGTAATGTTGTAATATCTTTGCGTACTACAGCTTGCATTTTGACTTCGATGACATTTCAAGAGGTAAAAATGACACGATTCGCTCTCCTGTAAACTCATCTATTTCGGATGATTTTACAAAAATGGTTAAAAGTTGGGAAAAACGATAGTCATAGAATATTTAACAATAAAACTGTATTTGTGTTCAAAACAACGAAATAGACGCCAAAAACATTTTATTTTTATTTCCGTGAGTACTTTAGATCCTGATTTTGGTGCTGACTGCATCAATGTTGATTTGTTCAATTTTCTGTTCTCCGCCAACTTCAAAATTTCACTTAATGAAAAAAATGCCTCAGATTTATGATTGAATCGCATCAAGACATTCATTTTGTTCTCTTTTTTATATATTCCAAATGCATTTTTTTAAAGTAGAACTTTGTGTATAACCTTTAATGTGAACCAATTCAATCTCAAAAAAGGAGCATTTTTAAGATCACAATCTACAGTGCAAAAACTAAGTAAGAGTCTGAATGTCCTTATTTAAGCATACTTGTATAGTGTATAAAGAAAGATGTGGTAGATTGTACATTGGTACATTAACTTGATTCCCAAATGAGAAACACTCATAAACTGGAATCTTTGGGTGAGTTTAGTTGTACGCCGCTTTTAAAAGTATTCCAGCAATATTACGGCGGGGAATACCAGAAATGGGCTTCACACATTGTACCCATGTGGGGAATCGAACCCGGATCTTCGGCCTGACGGGGCGGTGGGGTAGCCTAATGGTTAAAGCGTTCGCTCGTAATGCTGAACACCCGAGTTCGATTCCCCACATTGGTACAATATGTGAGGCCCATTTCTGGTGCCTCCGCCGTAATATTGCTGGAATATTTTTAAAAGCGGCGTTAAACCAAACTCACTCACTCACTCTTCGGTCTGATTAGCACACGCTTTAACTACTAGGCTACCCCACCGCCCCTCGGGGATGTGAAGACATATAGGAAACATCTGGTCTCGTATTAGTGGCACAATATCATCTACGTACATTATACTTTTATCTACGTAGAAGCCACCCTTATCAACTGGGAAGATGTTTTCATTTAGATTTAATTCATGTGTAAGAGAATATAATTCACCTAGATCTAGTATCGGATTATCAACATGGTAACCATAATTTCTCGAGTTCGGCATTAGTTTTGGGTCTGTATAATCTCTGGATTAATTGATAATGACTGATTGCCTTGATATCTCGATATTTACTACTGTCTTAACATTACATAAAGTAACTCTTAATTTTAATGTGTCAAAATTTTGTTAAATGAATACTTTTGAATGTATTTTCATTTTAACGCTGATAGTTTAAAGATAGTTCATAGATAATTAGTTTTTTATATATTTTATATACTATAATTGAATCTATAAATCTCAAATGACTACATATATCCTTCTTCGGTTGCACTATGGTATGGTGGGTACTAAGAAGCCAAGCAGTATTTGCTGTAGGCCTTGAATATAACATTGAAACCTTTTGTTCTCCCCACAGACAATTGTGAATAAAGATTAATATAAGTAGCATATAAAACTGTCGTCACATCAACTTATTTTCCGCTACTTCACTTTAAAAGATTCCCTGTAACCAATGGTAGCCGGAAGTAGCCTCTAAATAGCCATGGGATATCCTGCTTTGTTCATAACATCAATCATTGGATGACCACGTCCAGCTTAAAGTACATGCTTACCATCGTGACCTAGCTGGAATCTTGGGACTGTGACGTTTAAACAAAACAGAAAAAAGGAAAATAATAAGTAATCATATGCAGTTAACAACATCATTCTTGATGCCTAACGTATATTTCAGTTGTACCGCCGACAGACTGCCCACCTAAGCTCACGGTCGACCCGTTCTACAGCTGTGTTGAAGCTGCCGCCGTCGACCTCACCAACGCCGGTCATCCTAGCAACCTCAGCGTCTCGCTGGACACAATGTGCATGTAAGTGTACATAATGTCCCCTTTATCAAGATAAGATAAGATATGATACGATAAGAGTAAGACCATACAGTCATTTCAAGCTGTCTATGGTACTGTTAACTCCATGATTCTACAATGGTCGAAATACATATGGACGCCAGACAATATTGACGTCATAGTGTGGTATTTCCGATGTAAATTGTCGTTTTTAAGTTGGGACTTAAGAAATGAAGATATATACTCAACTCTGCTAATCATAAAGTGTGGGAAGAAGAGACTTTTACATACGTATACTTGTAACCTTTTGTTCTAGAAACATTAACGTAAACAAATTACTCATTCAGGAAATTCATGAGTTCTGACACTTGAAGTGAACAAAAAACATGCAATAAAATTTCAAATTCATACAGGGCTCTTCATTACTGGAATTCCTGGCACCGATTTCTCGAAACAAACTTAAGTTTTTACTCAAATTTCAAACTGAGTTGGACAATTTGAAACAGCTGTTTAACATTTTTAAATAAAAAGCCCAAACAACTTAAGTAATCTATCCACCAAACTCAAAGTCTACTATGTTTGAGTTTAATATCGATAGTTCATTCTGGGATATGCATTTTCTCAAATTTGAGTAAAAACTCTAACTTAAGTCGAAACTAAGACTTAAGTTTGTTTCGAGAAATCTGGGCCTGATGTCTAACAAAAAGTATTAGATTAACTCTATGACTGAAAATGAGCTTACCTATACATCCATATACATATATACATACATACATACATACATACATACATACATACATACATACATACATACATACATACATACATACATACATACATACATTACGTAGTTTGAGACTAGAATGACGTCATCACGTCAATTGAGTGTGACGTAATGCAAAAATGTACGTTTATACATTCTAACTCAAGATTATGTGTGAATCTTTTCGAGATATTGATTTTATGTTATTTTGATCCAAACAGGTACTTCACAGCGTACGAGAAGTGTTTCCAAGACCTTCCATCGACCGATTGTTCGGATGTCTCCATGTTCTATATCAAAGGCATTAGTGGCGTGAAATACCCGTACTGTAGCCTGTCGCCAGAGAAGAGACGTCAAGCTATTGATAACTACCAGAATTATGTTGCCAGTAGCGCTGGGTTGGTCTGTAGCGTTCTGACCATCACTGCTGCCTTTGTTGTCTCCAAGCTCGTTTAACTCGTACTCTTGTTTACGTTTTTATTTCAGTGGTGCATATCAAATAGTTTTGTTTAGACGCAGTCTTTCACAGACAAGCTTTCACAGAAACAGCACTTCCACTGATTTCTAGCCGACTTTGTCTTTCACATCGTATCTGGTGTGAGATAATTATATTATAAGAACCGCAACCATATAGCTGGAATATTGCTGAGTTCGGCGTAAAACTAACTTCACTCACTCACTACATTTTAAGACTGAAAGCTTGGTAAAATACTGGTTCACAATCGAGGTTTTCTTTGTCTTGATTTTATCGTACAACTGACAGTATTACACGTCACTTAATAGCCGCAAACTTCGTGACGAGCTAATGAGGTTCACAGCTAATACCTAGTGCCTTTCTAAAGAACGCCCACCAATTTGACTCGCTTGGAGATACGCTATGTTAACAGGAGATTTAACACACTGCAACTTTAGCTGTGGTAAAGTCATAACATACAATTGAGAAATTCCACGCTCCTCATTTTTACCATTGATCTTAATCAACTTTCATTGGCCATTTAATCAGATACTAACGTGCAATAAGATACTGTACATCTTTTTGGAGATTGTTCTTGTTATATAGTGGACATGTTAAAGAAATATAAAACGAAAAAGCAATTCTGTATTTATATGACAAAAGGATATATTACAAGTTCAAATATTGTTTTCTTCGTGAGTCTCTGATCATCATATTCTTCACTTACGTGTGGGATTGAAATATCTGCCTTTGTACATTAGGTGTTAATTAACCAAATGTTTTGATTACTTTTTTACTATCACCCTTGCTTACATGTACGTTTTTAATAAAAATTTAGAAAACAGCATCAGTTATGTTTTCTTGACTACGCAGGGTATATTGGAATGCTGGGGTCGGATAGCTTAGTGGTTAAAGCGTTCGTTCGCCACACCTAATACCCGGGTTTGATTCCCCTCATTGGCACAAAATGTGAAACAATTTTCCTGCCCCAGTCGTGATTCTTGAATATTGCTATAGCGGCGTTAATGTAATACAATGCCAGTTCTTGATGCATTATTTAAAGCCACAATCAGCTAGAACTGGCATTGATCTGTACACAATCGAACGCTGTTTAGTGATTGATCTCACAAGCATCGGGGGCGGCAGGATAAATGGAAAAGCGTTCGCTCGTCACGCCGAAGACCCGGGTTCGATTCCCCACATGGGAACTATGTGTGAAGTCCATTTCTGGTGTCTCCCGCCGTGATATTGCTGGAATAACAGCGGCGTAAACCCATACTCACTCACTCACAAGCATCGTCCACGAAATTTGCATAGGATGACATGTCAGACTACCTGATACTGTTTGCCGTCTTTTGCGACTAGCAAAGGTTGCTGAAGACTAAATCTAAACGGGACTACCAAGGATACATAGGGGTGCAATCAATATGGCAATGCGGCGATTCGGGATATTTCCATTGCCCATTCTTTCTCGTACGTTTCCACGATCAAGCAGTGCTAATACTCGTTTCCGATTGGCTTCCCAGTCGGGTATATCTTCATATTTGCCCCTCTCATACGTAAAGCCTTGTTTACACGCACTCATTTGTCCCTATGGGCATTATACCCCCAGGGGTAAATTGAACCTCAGGGTGGCAAAGTGCGTTTACATGATCATTGATAGCTGGGAAATATAATGATAAAAGTAATAACAACAATTCATGAATCACAGTTCATACTGATCCATGGAAGTGTACACACATCAATTTCGATCCCAACAGCAATACAGACTCTGTCAAACTGCTGTTATATAAACTAGAATTACTCTTTATGAAAAACCCAGAGTAAATGAACATATTACGATTCATCAAGCTGACATAAATGCCAAAAAAGGTGTTAAAAATGTCAAAACTGCGTTTACATGAAACCTTTGCCCCCATGGGCAGTATTTGCCTCAGGGGTATACGAATTTGCTCCACCTCTGACTGACTAACTGACTGACTTTGGTTTTACGCCGCTTTTAGCAATATTCCAGCAACATCACGGCGGAGGACACCAGAAATGGGCTTTACACATTGTGCCCATGTGGGGATTCGAACCCGGGTCTTCGGCGTGACGAGCCAACGCTTTAACCATTAGGCTACCCCACCGGCCCTCTCCACCTCTGAAGGTGGGGCAGAATACCCCCTTGGGCAAAGTTTGTCCATAGGGGCAAGTGTGTTTACAGGATGAAATTTGTCTCCAAGGAGACAAATCAGTGCATGTAAACTAGGCTTAAGGTAGAGATTTCATATACCCCTTAATTAATGCTCGACTGGTACCCTGTCTGTCACCTCCTAACGGCGACACAGTAAAGTCTGTCGAAGAGCGCAAGCCTTCTAGGCCAGGAAAACCAGTCTACGAAATACTTCTTACCAATTTGAAACTGAAATCAAATCCAGTTCAGCGAATTCACCCGAGAATATACGACCATAATGCAGTGGGAGAACTCTGGATGTGCAAGCTGTCGGCGAAACTATAAATGTTTTAGACAAAAACATGAATATTATGTGAGATACATTCATTATCAATTATTAGAACATAGTTGAGTATGTGTCATTTCAGTCGAAAGCCACAATTCACCTCCCGTGTTTATCTGCAGCTAGTCTTACGGATATAAACGGATTGATTGATTGCTTGATTGGTTGATGAGTGTAGCTAATAATGTGCGAATACAGTCGCAAGTGAAGATAATTGGATATTTCGAAGATAATTACCAATAATGACCTTCAATCAAATAGGAAGAGAAAAAACCGGGAGTAAAGTAAATTACTATTTCTCATGTAACGACGAAGATACAAGGGATAATTGTGTATCCCCAGGACAGGGTGTGTCCGGCATTCTCAACAAGTGACAATACAAATAAGCCATACCAAACTGAATCCACAAAAGGTTTATTGCTTAGTAATTTTGTCTAAATATGTGCCACCAGTAGGCAACGTGCACTCATCTTTCAGAGAATACCTGGTGTTATCACTATTTTGATATATAGACAGGTATACATGATAAAATAATGGCTACTGGTGAACGTGGCAGATTCCTAATTTATGTAGAAACATTAATTAGATGCATTAGCTATTGGTTATCATTAGTACACACGACAGATAATTGACTTCCCAAAAAAGCCTATAATATGATATTTTGTTTAGATATACCAAAAAAGAGTTAGCTGGGTATCAATTATTAGAGAATCATTATTTAAGCTTGGACTCGGATATGCGTGGATATGTGAAGAAGTTGGATATTGTCAATTATTTTTGAAGGAGATAAAGATGAGACGACAATTATTCTTTTATAAACACAATATGTTTCCAGAAAAATATGTAACAAATTTCTAACTTTTAAATTTGAGACGATACTAAGCTTAGCTTGAGGCGCCCAATTACAGGTAGATATCGGACGTAGAAATAATATACCCAAAGAAGATAGGATTTGTAAAGTTTGCAACTTAAATGTAAAATAAGATGAATTCCATGTTATTTTATAATGTACATTGTAGACTGAAATTAGACAAAAATATATTCCTCAGAAATACATTACAAATTGTAATTTTGTAATATTTTGCATACTTATGTCTGATAGTAATAACGAAACTGTGTGGAACTTATGTAAATTTTGTAAACACGCAATTTCTAAAAGATACGAAAAGATGAAACACAAAATGAAACAATAAATGCCAAGTATGTTAAATTTCAATCAACAATGTATTTATGTATGACATTATGTTTATTTGTATATGGGCCTAAGGTCATTGATACAATAAACTGAATTGAATTGAATGATAAAGTCGGAATTGTACAATAAAATCTGCTTTTAACCGGTATTAAAATAAGACAACTACAAAAAACATCTAGATGAGTAAAGAAATATCTACTTAAAGAATTATATGAATCTGACTATATCGAGAACCTGTGTTTCTGAGGCACTATCGAATTCCGAAAAGGTATGCACGAATTGAATGTTTAAAGGAAAAAATTGTTTCACAGCAAGTGTGACAATAATATGTACGGAAGCCCCTGGAATGACAAATATGTTAAGTAACTATAGAATAACTCTGCAACGGATTCCAAGTCATGTCGACATCAAAGGCAACGAAGAGGCTGATACCATAGCGAAGCTACCAGCAGCGAGCGGGCCAGTGCGGAAAGAGACCACTTCATGCTCCTTACTAACAAGCAAGATTAACCAACAACTCACCAAGAAATAGATGGAAAAATTGTCTACCTCAGACAAAAGGAGATAATACTGGGCAAACCAGCCTTCACCCAACTAGCGCAGATAAAAGAATCTTCAGACCCCAAACTATTTCTCATCTAAAGACGTATATACAAAGAATACTTGTGTCTTGTGTAGCAGGATGTGTATGGCACTCATGAAAGTAACAAGCACAAACATCCCCTAACCCATCTATATCAACACCAAAAAAAGAAGATTTTTGAAAAATGTAATTAGCATTTTTGTATAGTTTAGCAATTTTGTCTAAAATGTGTACCATCGGTTGGCAACGTACGTTCATCTTTTAGCGAGCACCTGATATTATTACTAATTGATTTATAGACACATCGTCATTATATAGTAAGAATTATTCAATCGAATCTACTTTTAACCTAGATTTCTTTTATTTACAGAAAAGAAGCTACAAAAATCATTTCGATGACCAAAAGAATTATCTACTAAAAGAATTGTGTGATTCTGACTGTATCTAGAGCATGTGTTCCGGAAAAACTATCGGAAACCATGTGTTCACGAAGAGGTTCGCGCGAATGATAAATTAGCACGGCTCCCACGGACGAAAGCTATCAATACACAATGCCATTTAGAAAGAGGTCAAATGTAAAGTACACAAAGTCCGTGATGTAGATTACCAGTTTTTCGACTTCCTTATTTGTGCAAGCCGCGATGGCTGAGTGGGTTAGTTGGCTGAATTTGTGTGCTGGCGATTAGGTGTCTGACTCTGAGTGTGTTAACACACTGAGTTCTCAACAGGTAGCCTACAAGGTTTTACATTGTGCCTACATATGATCTAACGAGTTAACACACTGAGTTCTCAACAAATCAGCCTACAAGGTTTTACATTGTGCCTACATATGATCTAACGAGTTAACATACTGAGTTGTTAACAAATCAGCCTACAAGGTTTTACATTGTGCCTACATATGATCTAACGAGTTAACATACTCAGTTGTTAACAAATCAGCCTACAAAGGTTTTACATTGTGCCTACATATGATCTAACGAGTTAACACACTGAGTTCTCAACAAATCAGCCCACAAGGTTTTACATTGTGCCTACATATGATCTAACGAGTTAACACACTGAGTTCTCAACAAATCAGCCTACAAGGTTTTACATTGTGCCTACATATGATCTAACGAGTTAACATACTGAGTTGTTAACAAATCAGCCTACAAGGTTTAACATTGTGCCTACATATGATCTAACGAGTTAACACACTCAGTTGTTAACAAATCAGCCTACAAAGGTTTTACATTGTGCCTACATATGATCTAACGAGTTAACACACTGAGTTCTCAACAAATCAGCCCACAGGGTTTTACATTGTGCCTGCATATGATCTAACGAGTTTACACACTGAGTTCTTAACAAATCAGCCTACAAGGGTTTTACATTGTGCCTACATATGATCTAACGAGTTAACACACTGAGTTCTCAACAAATCAGCCCACAAGGTTTTACATTGTGTCTACATATGATCTAACGAGTTAACACACTTAGTTCTTAACAAATCAGCCTACAAAGATTTTACATTGTGCCTACATATGATCTAACGAGTTTACACACTGAGTTCTCAACAAATCAGCCAACAACGGTTTTACATTGTGCCTACATATCATCTAACGAGTTAACACACTGAGTTGTTAAAAATCAGCCTACAAAGGTTTTACATTGTGCCTACATATTATCTAACGAGTTAACATACTGAGTTCTTAACAAATCAGCCTACAAAGGTTTTACATTGTGCCTACATATGATCTAACGAGTTAACATACTGAGTTGTTAACAAATCAGCCTACAAAGGTTTTACATTGTGCCTACAAACGATCTAACGAGTTAAAATAATGAGTTTTACATTGTGCCTTCATATGATCTAACGAGTTAACATACTGCGTTGTTAACAAATCAGCCTACAAAGGTTTTACATTGTGCCTACAAACGATCTAACGAGTTAACATAATGAGTTTTACATTGTGCCATTGTAGTTTAATATGAACAAGCTGAAGTAGTTGCATATCAATATACCGATTTGCCTACATGTTAATCTACGTGGATGCCTGCATACTAAACTACAAATGCCTACATGCACATCTTCATAGCTGCCTATATATCAACATACACAGGTGTCGACATTACAAATGATTTTACGACCACATAAAGTATGCTACAACTGACAGACTGAAAGTGTCAGACTAGTTACCAGTCTGTAACGTTGTTTGGTGGTTCAAACGCCGCATTCTATTCCAGTTATATGGCGGCAGCCTGTAAATAATCGAGTCTGGAACACACAATACAGTGATCAACAGTATGAGCATGGATCAACACAATTAGGATACGATGACATGTGTCAACGAAGTCAGCAGGGCCGACCACCCGATCCTCTTAGTATCCTCTTACGACAAGCATTCTAATCTGGATTTTCACGGATAGACAAGCATGGGTCGCTGAAGACCAATTCTAACCTGGATTTTCACGGGTAGACAATCATGGGTTACCGCAGGCCAGTTCTAACCAGGATCTTCACGGGTAGACAAGCATGGGTTGCTGAAGACCAATTCTAACCTGGATTTTCACGGGTAGACAATCATGGGTTACCGAAGGCCAGTTCTAACCAGGATCTTCACGGGTAGACAAACATGGGTTACTGAAGATAAATTCTCACCCGGATCGTCACGGGTAGACAAACGTGGGTTACTGAAGACCAATTCTAACCCGGATCGTCACGGGTAGACAAACGTGGGTTACTGAAGACCAATTCTAACCCGAATCGTCACGGGTAAACAAGCATGGGTTACTGAAGATCAATGCTAACCCGGATCTTCACGTCAGAAACGAATTTATGTTTTGAGTATTTCAGTGAGTGATGTTAAGCCAGTGTCTCACCACAACTCGAGACATGCATTTCCGAACAGATGTAAACCAAAAGGGGCAGCAGTAAAACAGGTCCCCCAAACCATTACCTGTCGTTAAAGGTTACTCTGAAGGTCAGTAACCCCCCAAAAGGGAATAGGCACAAAGCCACTAGTTCATCTTTCCTACAGGTTATTCTGTACCAATAGGTCTAATATAGCAGTAACATTGCTCAACTGTCGAAAGAAATCAGACGGACAAATGTAGCTTGCCTCCACGGTCAAACAGTCTCGAGAACTGCGAGTATGCACAATGGCCGAAGCTACGATAGCAGAAACTGATTTCACGATTAAAATATAAATAAAAATATTTTTGCATTACAAATTTGGGTAGATGTTTCTGATTACTTTGTCTTTACTCCAGTCACTTATTGCAATTTCCAGTATTCTCCTTTAGTTCTTAAACAAGTACATTAACATGCTACTGAAAAACATCAACCCTTACTCAACCCTTTGAACCCCATTACACTTCTACTGGAGTAGGTGAATAAACGATTTATCGTCCTTCTGTGACGAGGCGTGTGAGCTTGGATGACACGTGTAACGATGGGTACACGATCCCAGACACACCTGCGCCTCATTGATTTTATATATTTGTCAGGCGTTATGACGTCATAAATTAGAGACAAAACCCTTCCACACTCATAAACAAATCTTTCCTACAAGCAGAGTCCATTGCACACTTGTGACTATATTATGAGTATATGCTTGTGTCAGCAGTATTGTGGTTGTACGGTGCTGTTTGTAAATAAATCAAGTCTAATCCAGACGATCCAGTGATTGTCACCATGCGACACCTATGACAGAAAATGTGTTCATGAATCACAATGAAATGTAATTATGTTGATGTTGATGCCACGAGCAAAACAGTTCAGTACAGAGCCGGTTTCTATAATCGACAGAAATCTTTCCTTTGCCATGGGAAGAAAGTGTCAGTGTTTAATGGTGGTGAATGTCATTTTTTCACCTGTCAATTTGATTCCTTGGAGGCAAATACAGTAGATCCTGGAATAATCCACTGAAAGTGTACTGATTATCGGTACTGTAAAGTTTAAAATGATTTTAAAATTACACAGAAAATACACAAAGTTAGGTCTTTGTTAATGGATTGCTCCTGAAGTAGGTTCGGCACGGCGACCCGGGTTCGATTCCCCACATGGGTACAATGTGTGAAGCCCATTCCTTGTTTTCCCCCGTCGTGATATTGCTGGAGTGTTGCTAAGAGCGGCGTAAAACTAAACTCACTCACTCACTCACTCACTCACTCAATTGGTCACTGCCAGAGAACAGTCCCTCAGAAACAGTTTCTTTGAGGCAAACTAGTCATGGCAAATATTTGAACTGATCACTGAAACATCAGTGATTACAAGTTATTGCCATTACTTGAATTAAAGTAATTGAATTAGGAGGCATGAAAACTTATTTTCACAATGTTTAAACGTTAATGATAAAATATCCGGAAGTACTCGTCAAGGATATTGATGGTGAACCCAAGCTTAATTCAAATAATGAAGACACGTTATTTAGTAACATTTGCGGAATAAAAATAGTCATCGATATTGACCCCAAGTGTTCATGTGGTCATTATAACGAAGACGTTATTCACTACCTTTAAACATGTCGGAACTATCAAAATTTAAGAACAACTGTGTATTTTTATATTTAAGGATACGATGTTAAAACTACTCGCATTGAATAACTCAACTAATAGTGGCATTCTCAACTCTTTACACCAGTTCATTTCTAAAAGTAACCGCTTCCAGTGATTATCATCTCTACATATATTCTCAATGTAAGACAAGTTTTTATATAATTTGATTTTCTGCGGCAGCTCATTTCGTTGATAGGCATAACCAACATCATAACGAACATATTCATTATTCAATCATATATCTGTTATTTTGTCTCAGTATTATTCTTTTGTTGTTAAATTATTTCAGTTATTTATCCAGCTATTTGAACAATGTACTGGAGCGGCGTTTATAAACCACTAAGCTTGTTCGCCTAATCATGTTTCTGCTTTGGTGATAAGAAATATGTTTAAACCATATTGCCTTACGACAAATTTCGTCATAAACGTGCTCCAGTTTATGTATTGTGGCTGGCTTGTGGAGTATCTTATACAAACCTAAGAGAACCCCAGATTTAATGATTTTACTGATCTGAATGACATGAATCCGCTCTCGTTAACCTATAAAAGGCCGCTGAAGAAGCTATGTGATCAAAAGGCAACATGCAGGGACTCCTCGCATTCGTGGCTCTGTTGCTTGGTTGCATCAACAGAAATATGCAAGCTGTAAACGTCAATCCTGTAAATGTAACTACTACAAGCTTTCCTTTTAACAACACAACAAGAACTGACACGACGCTGAAGGAGCTAAGCACCGAGGGAAACGTTGAAGAAACAACGCGAGTGCCAACAGGCACAAAGTCCTCAGATGGCGCATGCAACATCACCTTCAACTGCTCATCAGAACTTGTGACTTCTGTGAAGAACAACATACCTGCCCAAACGTCTATTTCGAGGGAAACATATTTGGCTATTCTGAAGCATAACAATCCTATAAACGTCTTCCTGTTTATGTTGGCCTTCGTCTTGAATGGTTTCAACATCGTAGTGTTCATCTCACAGGACCAGAACTCGACCAATTTCTACCTCATCGCAATCAGTGTAATGGACATCCTATATTCAACCTGTGTCGTGGGTAAAACCCTATATCACATGCTTTCGGATGATGTATTTACATGGTTTTACAACACCTATATCATCTACATTGAACTGTACTTCAGACCTGTGTTTCAAAGAACCATCTTCTTTCTTGTATTCCTGGTGTCTATTGAGAGACTGCTCGTGGTAGTCTTTCCTCTGAAAGCTAAAACCTTTGTGTTCATGAGACGCCCCAAGTCTATAATCATGATGGCATTCTTGATCCCTTCGGTGTACTACGTCTTCAGTCCATTCCGATATAAACTAATTGAAATCACTACAGACCAAAATACTACGAAATACACCCTTACTTACAAACATCCCGATCAGACGTTCCTCCGAGGTATGAGCACTACAGATAATTTCCTATTTGTCTACGCACTTCTCCTTGGAGGACTGTTCCTTAATCTACTTGTGGTTTGCGCCCTGAAACGCTATTCCAAGAAAAGACAACAGTGGAAGACTACGATAGACACGGACAAAACAGCAAGACAAGAAAGGCAGACAACAGTGACGATCATCACCTCCAGTTTGGTGTTCCTCTTCCTGGCCCTTCCACATGCAACCAACGCCATGGCTTTCAGTCTGTTCCCGAGCATATACGGGCCGTACACGCGTTACCACTACTTGTTTTCAGTGCTACAGGCTCTATGCTCAACACTGACGAACTTGAGCCTGTGTACAGATTTCCTTGCCTACATCTGGCTCAGTACAAGTTTCCGGACCACCTTCTTCAGAATCCTTCGTATCAGGCAGACTTCAACTCCAACCAGATATACTGACGAGAACACGGACCATACACATACATCGTAGATAAATACTTGATGACGTCTTTGGATCTGAAGCTATAGAGCTATGAGAACTTTGTGACATTCTGAAGTGGTGGACATTTTGTTTGAGTGTGATGTTTCATTCTCGTTATGGTGAGTGCATACCTTATGAGTTCAATGTTCGTTTGTTTGCGTTGTGCAAATTTCGAATACTTGTACACATCAGTCTTATCCACTAGTTGTACTCACGTGTAGAAACAATACGTTTGTTCAGGCACAATGTTGGCACATAATGTTCAATCAGGACAGTATGCTAATCTAGCACCGCCACCGTACAATGTCTTGTGAACACAACACAGAAACGTCTCGTGCATTTAGATACTAATAAACGATCATTGATCATGTCTGCAAACGTATATTGTCTTTCTGAATATATTGTTAAATATACCCCATACAGTAAAGAGTCGTTGATGCGACCCTCTGTTTCTGAATATAATGGGACGGTGGGTAGCGTAGTGGTTAAGCGTTCGCTCGTCATGCCGAATACCTGGGATCTATTCCCCACATGGGTACAATGTGCGCAGACAATGTTTGGTGTTCCCCGTAGATGTGATGACGATGTCAACTGTACATGTCTTACAGCAGATATGTTTTGGTGTCTCCCGTAGATGTGATGACGATGTCAACTGTACAGGTCTTACAGCAGATATGCCCCAGGGGAGATTCACTTTTAGAAGAGGTCCTCAGGTCTCAGTTTCCATGTTTGGCTTGTTCCCCATCAACCAACTGATGATTAGTGACAACACTGATTCGCGGTATTTTCAGAAATTGGAATTCTCCAAATGCAGTTGTGTAACTTTTCGGTCGATTGTCAACGTAAATCACGGGACATACTGACGTTCACCAGGTAATGAACGACACCTGTGCTGTGGTGGCAGAGCTAATCTTGGCGAGGTCACCCCCACTGTCAAAGTTGCAATAACAGCAAATATATGTTTATTCATCTGATAAATGTTTTATCGTACAGAATTCTTTGACAAGACCTTTGTCTTGTAACAGCCGACGGAATGACATGCCCTGAAAGAGGGTTGGTGTAACAACTCACTTCACTATATCAATCTTGGGTCTGACCAGTCGCAGGTCCAGGCAGCTGCGGTGACGACACTCGATGATTGAATACAGCCTTGGGGTATCTGTTCCAAATGTACAACAAAGACTGGACCAACTAAACCAGCGCTACCACCTGGTCCTGTTCCAGTTGTAGCTCTCGTTCCGTCAGACCCAGGCATGTTCTTTCAAGGGAGAATGTAGCCAGAAATGGCAGTGCAGTAGTAATATACTATCTCAAAAGGTCAGTTAAAACACATCCAAAACATGGCACATCTGTATTTGGCGAACTAAATACATACCTGAACATTGTTTTCCTCGAAACTTTCCACACGTTTCCGAGTGCATTGATATATTCAGTTAAAAGGTAGGGAATATCGGGGTGATATAATGCGAGAACCAAGCTATATGATTTGTTTGTTTGTTGTTTAACGCAACACTCAGCAATATTCCAACTATACGGCACCGGTCTGTAAATAATCGAGTCTGGATCAGACAATCCAGTGATCAACAGCATGAGCATCGGTCTACGCAATTGGGAACCGATGACATGTGTCAAGTCAAGTCAGCGAGCCTGACCACCCATGATCTAACGAGAAGCATGGGTTGCTGAAGACCAGTATGATTTAGAAAATGATTATTCCATTACGAACGTGTTATGAATTTCGTGCAAACAGGTCAATTTCGTGCAAACAGGTCAATTTCGTGCAAGCATGATAAGTACGTAAACATGATCGGGATAGAAAGCTTCACAAACATATTCTCAATATCATTAAGAAAATTGGAGATGAGCTTCGCAGAGCTACATGTTAGAGTGAGTGGACAGACGGCTGCACAGATGCAACATGCATTCATGAAGTCCACGTGTTGTCCCAGGACTGACGGACCGTCAAATTACTGTTTATGAGTCTCGGTTTACTTTGGATTTCCCCGACAGGCGCAACAGAACGTTGAGTATACGGAATGAATTGGTTGTTTGGTTGTTGTTTAACACCGCACTCAGCATTTTCAGGCTATATGGCGGCGGGCCAGACAATGCAGTGATCAACAGCATGATACGATGACATGTGTCAACCAAGTCAGCGAGCCTGACCACCCGATCCCGTTAGTCGCCTCTTACGACAAGCATGGGTAGCTGAAGACCTTTTCTCACCCGGACCTTCACGTGAACTTGTTCATGCCGTTAACGTTGGATATTATTTCTAACATGAATAATTTTGTAGACATAATACAGAAACACACCAATGTTATGGACAACCCATAGCACATAAACATAGTTTAAAGCAAGAACCATACATATTCATATTGTTCTCTGACAAGTTCTCTGTATTTCAGAGCCAAGGCAGAGCGTAGTCACTATCACTGCATATAATATTTTGAATAAATCAGGGTATGTTGTGCAACAAGTCTGTAACAACCATTTAAAGATGTGATAACGTCTTTGTAGAGTGTTAGTATTTGTTCTCAATCGACACACTGTCAACTGTCTGAGTGAGTGAGTGAGTGAGTGAGTGAGTGAGTGAATGAGTGGGTGTGGATGTGAGTTTGGTGTGGAAGGGGAGGCCAGGGTGATGCTGTATACGTCGTCAACCACTTTGAGTGAGTGTGAGTGAGTTTAGTTTTACGCCGCACTCAGCAATATTCCCGCTATGTAGCGGCGGTCTGTAAATAATCAAGTCTAGACCAGACAATCCAGTGATCAACATCATGACCATCGATCTGCGCAATTGGGAACCGATGACATTTGTCAACCAAGTCAGCGAGCCTGACCACCCGATCCCGTTAGTCGCCTCTTACGACAAGCAGGGGTTACTGAAGATCAATATTCTAACCCGGATCATCACGGGTAGTCAACCACGTTTGTGAAGGAACATCTACGCACAAAGAATCGCTGCGCCTCGACGACCGCGCTACATAGGCGTCATCCATCTCTGACTTGTGATCAAAAGGGTTTTTGGTAGAATGTCGAAACTAAAAAGAGGACACTGACAATGTTGTGGATAGGGTGATGGAACGTGACCCTTTAGCATTATTTTCAGTTGCGACAACAGCATTACAACCAAAGGTAGTCAACCAAGTATATTCAACAAAGTCCATGCATGCCAACATTACTAAAGTGTATCTGCTAATGAAGAAAGTCTCGGGAAACTTTTCATTATATTTTATGATTATAATTAAGGAACCGTTTTTTGCTGTAAAATATGTTCATCTAGATGTTAGTCGATCCTAAAGATATACATTTTAGGCAGGTCCACATGAACATCGTCTACAGGAGTCTCATTCTCAGTCAGGTCCAAGGATTGTACAGACTGTGTAAATACACAAAATTAACCGTCATAAAATTGAAACCACTACAGATCAAACAACGACGCAGGCTTGAAAACGGTATAAGTATCTATACCGAATTCGTCGCTGTTGTACAATAACGAAGTTGGTCATCCATAAAGACTTGTCATTCCTATTACTACCAGAATGCCTCTCAAACAGTTCACAAAATCTTTTTCAATCAATTCAAAATCCCGTCCTGGGTTTGAAACGACTTTGTAAAATAATACAGAACGAAAGATTATCTTTAGGTGTTTTTATTCCCTGGTTTTCGTAACGATCAGCCACGATTTTCTTAAATGAAAACTTAATGTAACTGTTTTGTATTTATTCAACTCCGAGTTCACAGTTCACATTGTGGAACAATCAATGATTGACTGTTCTCGCAATTCTGTCGCAAAAAAAGGAAATATTTTGACTCGGGTATTTTGTCCTTTAGTTTAGCCTAAAAGGGGGAATTGTTTTTAAGAACATAATGTTTATACGCCTTTATATTGAAATGACCCTTGAAAACAATATGATGAACCTTTTTCTTAATTTGGATACTAACGCTTATTACCAACTGACTGATATTTTACGTGGGCATCAAAGTGAAACCATTTGCTAAACTATCAGTGATCGTACATTTGTAAAGATACCTCGCAAAATATTCCCTGTCTATACAGCAAATGGAGACATCAATCGGAGCTCAGTGGGCACAAATCAATCAAAATTTGACTAAACGCGAGGTTATTGGCGTTACACACAGATATTCTGAAGGAATCTAACTTCAGGTTCCATATGAGAAAATCCTGGCATTGAAATGACAGATCCCGTCGTCTTTATTGTCACGAATTCTTAAAATGGGTACTTCTTCCTCTACTATTATTCTTCAACATGTACTGTAATGACGATAACATCCACAGACAGGTAGTCAGTTTTAACAGTGAATCGCAGAAAAGTGGGAAACGATTTTTTTTCATTTTGGAAATTTGAACAACCGATATTTTTTTGACGATTGAAATTGAAATCTCCCCATATGGACATATAATGTCGATCAATTTCCATTTGCAATGAGCATGAACATAAACTTATGTTGGATGAATACATGAACATTAAGATTTATGATAAATATTCTACAAACAAATTATTTTCAAAATTTAATAATTTGACTGAAAATGTATTGTAATGCTGTTCTTGCATTTGGCGCAATTCATAAGAAAGTCAAGGAGTCAAAATGAAAAATTACACAAATCAGAGTTTATTCAAAACATAAAGAGACACACAATGAGTCAGGGGACACGCCATCACACGTCACCAGCAGGAATCCTGTTCCATAAGTCCAAGAGAGTCGGTTCCTGTCGGTTCCTGTCTGTTCGCTGGAGGTCGTGCACGCTGTCTCAGTTGACGATCAAGATGATCCCAGAGATGTTGGATGGGGTTCATGTTTGGAGAACGCCCTGGCCAAGGCAATACGTTGACGTTAACGTTAACGTTGTGCAGGTACCCTCGGAGGCCTTGCGTTGTCGTTCTGCAAAAAGACTCATCATGGCTGTTGTCGAATAAAGGTCAGAACAAAAGGTCTCAACACTTCTTCCCTGTATAGCTGGACATTCAGATGTCCTCGGATGATAACCAGTCTTGTTGTTTTCTGACCACAAATGTCGCCCCATACCATGACGCCTTCTCCATCGAACGAATGAACGTATTTTGGCACCATCGACGTGCAGTTCGTGCCCATTGCAGTTTGTGTTGACGGTGTAGACGTGTCAAGGCCATTCCACGGAAGGGGCGGTAGGCTCGTATACCAGCCATACCAAATGGTCGAAGGACTTTGTCTGATAATTAAATGTCACAATGAAAGACAAGATTGGCACTTTCTCCAAGACGACGAGCCGAACAATATCTTTCTTACAACATAATTTCAGGACATCCAGCAGTATGTGTGGAACGAGTTATTTTTGTCTTAAAACGGTATGGATGATCGGTGGTTCGATCCCCTGGCAACGTCATTCAAAAAGAAGTCGAACATGGTACTTGTTGTTAGCCAGCCTGGCATTTGGTGTCTAGGGGATACAACATTTACTGGTCGGTATAGTATGTTTGTCTTGGTTACAGCATTGCGGTAAGGGGGCTACGAGTTAAGTCCGACATAGTAAACATGCAGCCACACACACGTGCATGCACATCGTTCTATAAGTGCACTTCACGTAATGATGACACACTGCCTGTATATATTGTGTCGAAGTGCCTTTATCGTGCTTGTAATATCCTTGTTTGATAACCACTTAATTAAAGGAACATTGCAAAATTATAGGCGCCTTCACATTTCACATTTGTCGTTTTGTAATAATTTGGGGGATGTTTTCAGTGCGTCATCATAACGTGAGGTGTAGGAGGGATTGCTCAGCTGGAACACTGATTCTTACTATACGAAACCTGTTTTCAATGACACACTAAACCTTCAAAACTTAATAGATATTCATAAGCACGCATTTACCTGAAATTAATATCACACCTAGTCGTTTGGAGTTAACGCGGCTCGTGACGGTAATTGATACGGTAGGTGTCTTCCTGTTAGGGTCTGGCTCAGTTTGAAACAAGTACTAAGCGTGTAATGGGCGATCACGTCGAGCATAATTGGGGCAAGCTTGCAATACAATATTTCCAGTACAGCGTTGTGCAGTTGTCGTGAGGCATAGTGAAACCTTGACACAGTGGTGAACTGTGAACTCTCTCTCTCTCTCTCTCTCTCTCTCTCTCTCTCTCCTTTTCACTTTGTTGGGTGTGACGCTGTCCCGGATTTCATCACTGGCTTGCTGTAATCCACTCAGTCGATCTATAGATCTATATTCTATGTCCTCAATATAAATATTTACAGATCCTATCCATGGATATTTCATGACAAACCAATAAACATAATCAAGGTTGATTTGGAAGTCAAACTGCATCCATAGCCCCTTATTAGACTACTAGGCCACTTATGTCCCTTTATCCAACAGCGAGAGCGAGAAATCAAGTCTCCGCTTACATTTTATTCATTAGATTTTCATTTCAAAGCATACAAAGTCCAAAAAACCTTGAACACACTCCTGACCGCGGGATCATAATCAGTTACAATAACAAAATCAATTTTCACACTTCATCCGACATTCCCAATCTTTATATGGAATCTGGAAGTTACAGACACGTTTTCTATTCACGATGGAACAAAAGAAGTGACAGGATATGCTAAAGACATCATTTATCGAGGTTTCAATGTCCTCCCCTCTTCAGATGCCACATCCATCTTGGCCTTGCCCTCCACTTCCGCTTCCGTTTCCGGTAACGCCTCCTCTTCATAATGGGCCTCACGTGACCACAGACGCCCTTGAACTGGTCCGGCAATGATCCGCGATGGGCCTCTATGGACGTGATAGTCTGCTTGATGCACCACAGATATTTCATACACCTGTTAAGTAAATGAAGTTGAACACATGCCACTTGGTATGTAAAGGGAGAAATCCTTCAGTCAAATGTTATATGACAAACTATATGTCTTTATGTACTGTTAAAAGTCTCCGTGAAACTTTTAGATGCTCTCATGAGACTACCGATGTTTTCAAGCAGTGTGATATGAATGTCATTTGTGACGTTACCGAGTATGATTTGGTCTTTATGCAGCAACCAATACTTGTCGTAAGAGGAGACTAACGGGATCGGGTGGTCAGGCTCGCTGACATGGTTGACACATGTCATCGTACCCTAATTACTTAGATCGATGCTCATGCTGCTGATCACTGGATTGTCTGATCCAGACTTGACTATATACAGACCACCGCCATATTGTTCGGATATTGGTGAGTGCAGCGTTAAACAACCAACCAACTTTAGTCCAAGGACGAGCTATATATTATAAGTTCATCGAGACTCCTTGGAAAAGGTAGCAACCTGTACTCTACACTGGTTTTAGAACATCTAACAACAAAGGTTTCTTGGCATCAATTCCCCTTGAGGCCGGAGCTGAAGAAAGGGTCTACAATAATAGTTTATTGACGTAAAGGTCTTTTTAATACGTTATGCGTGGCAGGGAAATGTGCAGAAGCATTTGGGAAGAATAGAATTCCTTACGTTATAGTGAGCGAGTATGGTTTTACGCCGCCTTTAGCAATATGGAAGCAATATCATCGAGATATGTGTTACTGGTAATGGGTAATTGGTAATGAGTAATGGTAATGTGCAATTGATAATAGATAATAAGTAATAGGTAATGTCCAGTGGATAATGGGTAATGGCCAATGGGTAATGGCCAATCTATAATGGGGAATGGGGCATGACTAATGGCTTATGGATAATGAATAATGGGCAATAGCCAATGCATAATCGCCTGTGGGTAATGCACAATGGACAATGCACAATGGACAAAGCACAATGGACAAAGCACAATGGATATTGAATGATGAATAATTGGTAACGGGTAATATGTACTACTCACGGTGGATGCTGCGAGCCGCACCGCCGCCCAATACCCGACGCACACACTGGGCAGCAGCTACACGGCTTCATCACTATCTGACAGTGTCGTCGCCGCAGCTTGGGACACTTGACATTGGCGCAGGACTGGTGGCACAGTTTAGTTCTGGGATATCCCGAGGTGGCGCTGACCACGGCCAGAGTGACCACTGTCACAACGGCGAGGATTGTGTATCCCCTCATTGTGCGCTACTCTGAAGATAGGAATAGGACAGATATCTGTTATCTTGAAGATGATAATTTTATACTCTTTTTCATAGTCATGCATATTCATAAATCGATAGGTATAACTTCATATCGTGGACACGATATATTTAACGTGGCCATTCGGAGAGGTGGAAGTACGTTGTAACGACTAATAAACCTCAGTATTGACGCAGAAAAACTATGGGGATACTGAACGATGTGCGGTTGGAGCGGTTCGGTAACAGCAGCTGCGAAATTGATGGGGTCGCAAAAGTGTTAATGTTTGATTTACCAAAATACAACTCCACCATGCTAACGTCAAATTAAGTCCTCAACGTGATTTACCTTTTTAACATTTATTTATTACCCGTTGAAGATATCACTGTTTAATAAATCTACAATGTTATTATTACAATGACGTATGACATCATAATGGTTTACAGTTATGACGTCACAATGCTAATACCTCTGTCACAGTGGTATTAGACTGTAAATTATGTTGAAGAGTGATAAACAGAATACTAAACTCGCTTCCGTGAAATAACATTTTTATTAAACCCGTGAAAGATTTAGTATCAAACCCGCTTGATACCAACACGTTTGATACTAAATCATTAACTCGTTTAATAAAATTGGTATTACACGGAAGGTCGTTTAGTATCCTGTGTATATCACACGAAATGCGTGACATATTTCTGGTCTAATGTCATTTAATGTAAAACCTGAATTTTAATCGCGTGGCATTATAATCAGCTTTAACAAGGCATGAAAGCTGGTTACAATACATGTATTTGATTACACTGGTAAGTGTACATAACAAACCTGGTTGACAGTACCTAGTTCATCAATAGACAACGTGAAATTATGGAGACAGTGTTCACCTCATGCAGTGTTATTCATTGCCGGACAGTGTTGATATTGGTCAAATGTTATATGACAAACTATATGTCTTTGTGTACTGTTAAAAGTCTCCGTGAAACTTTTAGATGCTCTCATGAGACTACCGATGTTTTCAAGCAGTGTGATATGAATGTCATTTGTGACGTTACCGAGTATGATTTGGTCTTTATGCAGCAACCAATACTTGTCGTAAGAGGAGACTAACGGGATCGGGTGGTCAGGCTCGCTGACATGGTTGACACATGTCATCGTATCCTTATTTGCTTAGATCGATGCTCATGCTGCTGATCACTGGATTGTCTGATCCAGACTTGACTATATACAGACCACCGCCATATTGTTTGGATATTGGTGAGTGCAGCGTTAAACAACCAACCAACTTTAGTCCAAGGACGAGCGATATATCATAAGTTCATCGAGACTCCTTGGAAAAGGTAGCAACCTGTACTCTACACTGATTTTAGAACATCTAACAACAAAGGTTTCTTGGTATCAGTTCACCTTGAGGCTGAAGAAAGGGTCTACAATAATAGTTTATTGACGTACAGGTCTTTTTAATACGTTATGCGTGGCAGGGAAATATGCAGAAGCATTTGGGAAGAATAGAATTCCTTACCTTATAGTGAGCGAGTATGGTTTTACGCCGCTTTTAGCAATATGGAAGCAATATCATCGAGATATGTGTTACTGGTAATGGGTAACTGGTAATGAGTAATGGTAATGTGCAATGGATAATAGATAATAAGTAAAAGGTAATGGCCAGTGGATAATGGGTAATGGACAATGGGCAATGGCCAATCTATAATGGGGAATGGGGAATGACTAATGGCTTATGGATAATAAATAGCCAATGCGTAATCGCCTATGGGTAATGCACAATGGACAATGCACAATGGACAATGCACAATTGACAAAGCACAATGGATATTGAATGATGAATTATTGGTAACTGGTAATATGTACTACTCACGGTGGATGCTGCGAGCCGCACCGCCGCCCAATACCTGACGCACACACTGGGCAGCAGCCACACTGCTTCATCACTATCTGACAGTGTCGTCGCCGCAGCTTGGGACACTTGACATTGGCGCAGGACTGGTGGCACAGTTTAGTTCTGGGATATCCCGAGGTGGCGCTGACCACGGCCAGAGTGACCACTGTCACAACGGCGAGGATTGTGTATCCCTCATTGTGCGCTACTCTGAAGATAGGAATAGGACAGATATCTGTTATCTTGAAGATGATAATTTTATACTCTTTTCATAGTCATGCATATTCATAAATCGATAGGTATAACTTCATATCGTGGACACGATATATTTAACGTGGCCATTCGGAGAGGTGGAAGTACGTTGTAACGACTAATAAACCTCAGTATTGACGCAGAAAAACTATGGGGATACAGAACGATGTGCGGTTGGAGCGGTTCGGTAACAGCAGCTGCGAAATTGATGGGGTCGCAAAAGTGTTAATGTTTGATTTACCAAAATACAACTCCACCATGCTAACGTCAAATTAAGTCCTCAACGTGATTTACCTTTTTAACATTTATTTATTACCCGTTGAAGATATCACTGTTTAATAAATCTACAATGTTATTACACAATGACGTATGACATCATAATGGTTTACAGTTATGACGTCACAATGCTAATACCTCTGTCACAGTGGTATTAGACTGTAAATTATGTTGAAGAGTGATAAACAGAATACTAAACTCGCTTCCGTGAAATAACATTTTTATTAAACCCGTGAAAGATTTAGTATCAAACCCGCTTGATACCAACACGTTTGATACTAAATCATTAACTCGTTTAATAAAATTGGTATTACACGGAAGGTCGTTTAGTATCCTGTGTATATCACACGAAATGCGTGACATATTTCTGGTCTAATGTCATTTAATGTAAAACCTGAATTTTAATCGCGTGGCATTATAATCAGCTTTAACAAGGCATGAAAGCTGGTTACAATACATGTATTTGATTACACTGGTAAGTGTACATAACAAACCTGGTTGACAGTACCTAGTTCATCAATAGACAACGTGAAATTATGGAGACAGTGTTCACCTCATGCAGTGTTATTCATTGCCGGACAGTGTTGATATTGTGTTACATTATTTCTGCCAAGTTGTAGTCGAGAATTATGGTGTGATAGTTACTATATTTATGCTGGGAGTTAGATAGGCTATCTCCCATGATGATTACATTTTCCTTAGGACAAGCAGTTGGGTGAAGATCAGTTTTCACCTTTGATTCCCACCCTTGGCCTGTTTTGGGAGCTTGACCACTGCTGCAGCAAGGTGAATATTTTCATCATTGTCTTTGTGCTGTATTAACTGAATCTATGTTATATTGCTATTGTATTTGTACTGCCATAGCCGTTTCACTTTCACTATCACTATTGTATACTGCCTTTGCAATTCCCTTGTAGATATTTCTATTGATTTGTAAGGTCAATTTTAGAATACAATTGTTTCTCTCCTTTGCATACATGTTTCAGATTAACTTTTAATTTAGAAATCGACTTTAGAAACCTGAGTACAATTCCACATAGCCGTCTAAGCGCCACAACTGTCGTACACCAATGCAAAAATAGTACAGTTACGATCATTCCAGCACTAACGCCGTTTGTGGAATGGGGGTCCTTGATTACAGAGTGGTCACAGAATCAGTTTAGGAATTACAATCGTCCTATCGCTCAGATCGCTTCGTAGAATAGGGACTTGAGGCAATGCTGGTGACACGCTTACCTTACCTGATGACAATTTAAACTACGAATGTAATATTCAATGTTATGTAAATATGACATGGTGGCATTATCACAACAGAAAAGTAAAACCGTAACAAGAACTTACTGTATTGATTCCTCGGTAAAACACTTAGACTACATCTAGTACCAGTCGTCTTCGATTAAGGCCGCACTTGAACTGACTTAATAACACTTAATGCTTCTAACAACGCACTGTTAAGGTCGTGTGTCCTTCCTGTTTAACTACCTCACCTGTATTGAGCGGCTATGGTAACATGCGGCAGTCGTGTAACAATACGTTGCTCTTAACTATAAACGAATTAACACCTGTTGTGTTATTGATCAGAATTTTTCAATGCTTATTTTCGATAATTAGTTTCTGTTAACAATGTCTATCATAATAATCAATAACAGAAAGGAGAGTTGTATAGCTCAGAAGTCAATAGACGTGTATTATGACGGCGTATTTCATGATAACTATTATTGCAAAACTTGAATCTACTTAGTACTGTTTCAGTGAAGTTAATGCCTATGTGGAAGGTCATGAATACACGGACCATTGTACATCCAAGGACTGAGATTATTACATAATTACCTCTTACAATTTCTTTTTTTAATAAACCTGGTTTCCATTCAAAAATGGATAAAATTTTACAAATGAATCTTTTTAGGAAAATGAAAAAGCCTATGTTTTTACAAATTACAATTTTCTAACAGATGTATTTGGTTGTTCTGTTGGTCTTAGGCGAGGTTGTGTCCTAAGCCCTTTGCTATTTTCGTTTTTATTAACGAACTAGTGTCTGAGATTAACAGTGTTATGCACAACTGGTGTCCAGTTATTTCGAGATCTTATTGTAAAAGAAACCATTTTGATGTTTGCTGATGATGTGGTGTTTTTATCAGAGTCAGTGATTGGACCATAAAGGCATATTGATGCTTTAGAAACCTACGGCAGTACATGGGCCATAAATTCTAATCTTGATAAAGCTAAACTTATGGTTTTATTAAACAGGATCAAAAATGTCAAAATCTTCAAAGTGGACATGTAAATCAACTACGCTTGAAGTTGTTACTTCCTACCAGTATCTTGGCGAGTTATTTAGTAGAACTCTGAATTGGTCCCTCTCTGACGAGGGAGAAGAAAACTTTGGCATCTGGTACAAAATGTCTTTGCAGCTTTAATAAAGATTTGCCACATGACGTTTACTTAAAAATATTCGACTGTAAGATACTACCTGTATTATTATACGGGTAGGAATTATGGGGCTCTCATAAACACAAACGCTTGGAAAGGGTATTATTATTGTATATGTAAAAGATTCCTTGGTTTGCGAATGTCTACGCCAAATACAATTGTCCTTGGAGAAGCAGGTAGATGTCCTATTCATGTGTTCACACGTAAACGTTGTATTCCGTACTGGTTAAAACTCTCTATCCATGTCCACTTCACGCTACTCATCCAAAGCCAACAAATTGTTACGTAATCTAGATGTAAACGCAAGCGCCGAGAGTAATAAGTTTAATTGGGCTTCGCAAATATACATACATACCCAGTTATTTTACGAAACAACCGTCAAAACACATAGTTAACCAGTCATTGTCAACTGCTAACGGTATATAAATTGAAATATTAGTTTATTATCTATCAGGCTATTATGAAGAGAAATCTACTGAAAACTATATATACGTGTACTATGGGCCTGTGGCTATCAGTTCTGATAAAAAGATTGATTGATTGATATTTATTTAATCTTTTCAATGAATAGAAGGACTTTGGTGAGTTTTTGGGTTCCACTATCTGTGAAAGAACACCATATAGTCACGGTCAGTGTCTTGGTTGGTAATATTGTCTAAGATCTCCTACGGAAATAGACTTGAAGATATATACCACTGGTTTGTCGGCACCGTATTTGGTTACATTCAGTCCGCCGTTAAGTAGTTATAATATTAGTGAGTGTCACGTAAACAGGGCGGTGGGGTAGCCTAATGGTTAAAGCGTTGGCTCGTCCCGCCGAAGACCCGGGTTCTATTCCCCACATGGGTACAATGTGTAAAGCCCATTTCCGGTGTCCCCCGCCGTGATGTTGCTGAAATATTGCTAAAAGCGGCGTAAAACCAAACTCAGTCAGTCAGTCAGTCACGTAAACAAGCACCTGACAAAACAACGTGATGCCGTATTTAGTCTTCAAAATGTCTGTCCTGAAATTATGCGCCTATGTCGATATTGTTGGTTCAGTACTGGAGGTACAGAAATGATTTCATCCAAAGGAAGTGCCATATCTAATCGGTACAGGCTCAGTGTTTCACAGGAAGGCTCTCTGAACGACCAGTGCTCCGAGTTTAAGTGTGGTGAGAAGAAAAGCAGCCATGAAGAGTCCTACGGCTGGTCTGAAAAGCGAAAAAGAAGATTCTCTGTTTGCTGTTCAGGACCATTCACTTCACACTCGTAATCGTCAATGTGTGATTAAGAATAAAATATATATTTAAATGTATGAATACTGATTAAGCTTTTTGACAGATTATACGCTCACCGGGTGAACGAATGATCCAGTCGTTAGATGTGTCATAATTCGAGTTGCGCCCCTTAGACGTATCAGAACCCTATTCTGGTTCTCCCATGATTATGTTTCTTGTCAGCAACATGTCCATCCTCATGGGCAAGAAAAGGCTTTCCGGCGTTCCTCCTTCATTATATAGCTGAAAGCAGAGTAAAACCAAACTCACTCACTCAAGAAAAGAGTACACACAGACAATGTGTATGGAAACACATTTCAGGAAGTAAAGCTACGACAGTGATTCATCCTGTCTGTCTACCGCGATGATGACTCACAATATTCACTGTTGCATCTCTTTACTCAAATACCGTATTTATATGAAAAACCTTAATTTACTAGCAAGAAATAGAATGTAAACAACCATCTTTGAAAATGGCTAAAATGAAAATAAACTAGAACTATGTTTGCAATGGTGATGTATTTGACAAGGGTATCATAGTTTGTGCTTTGGACAACAGTTTGCAGGTTACGACGGGTATTTTCCGCCTTGTAACGTTATGGTAACGTTTGTTATTTTAGATCAAATCCAATTTTCAATTACCTAGTTTGCCTGACGGTTTTTGACAGTAACTATTGTTTAATGTGTCATGTGCGGCATGATTATTCATCTCATACTGTCTGGTATATCTAGAGGCGGGATGAATCATTTACAAGTGGACGTATTTTCGTGATGATAAACAATTAAGGAAATGTCAGAAACAGTGCCAGGCCCATTCGAAAGCTAAAAACTAAAAAATCTTTTAGCTGCCACATTTATGCCACTGCACTTGTCACACAGCTAGATCAACACAGTCGTGACGCTGGTTGATATAGGTCCCCGGGGGCCCCGTCCTACAAAGCGAACGTGACTCCACGACACTAGCAAGTCTATGTTAAAGCACAACTCTACTAACGCTTGGTGGAACGGATCTACGAGAACGCCTTTCTTGGCTGTTAAATGGGATCGGGTGGTGACAGTGGTCACCTGGCGAGTGTCTTAACCTCACTTGTAGGTATTTTGACCGAATGTCTATTGTTTGGTCTGATTATCCAACTTTTGTGTATTTAGAAGTGTTAAGAGTGAGTGAGTGATGGTTTTTCGCTGCTTTTAGCAATATTCTACCAACATCATGGCGGGGGGACACCAGAATAGGGCTTCACACAGTGTACCCATGTGGGGAATCGAACCCGCGCGAACGCTTTAACCACTGAGCTACCCCGCCGCCCCAGAGGCGTTCAGAAGAACACATAGAATAACCAATATACAGAGTAACATACACAGTCGGATGTTACATGCAGTGTTACAGCACCATGGATATACATAAGTTAGTAGCATGCTTTGAATATATTGACAGGTGTAAAGTATCGGTATAATTTCTAGGAGTCATGAAAGAAGAGAATGCAATTTTTGGTGGTTTACTTAAGTACTTTTGGGGTATATACATAATTTTCAGGTTATTAAGAGTTAGGAATGACAAGACTAGTCTTTATGGATGATCAATATGATGTTTGAAAACGGTACAAGTATCTGTACCGAAACGGCGCTATTTCACAATAAAGAAGTTGATCATCCATAACGACTTGTCATTCCTATTACTCGGAACTTCTAGAATGTCTCCTAAACAGTTTATTAAAGTTATACATGTAAAGTAAATGTGTTTTCATCCCCTAAACCTCTTTTACATTACATACAAAATTAATCCTTAACATCACAACTGAGTCAGGTAACTTTCCAGGCGAAAACCATTTCCCTCTAGTTATAGTTATATAAACACTACCAACAAAAGCGACACCACTTAAATATCCAAACCCCATAGGGATTCTCAAGTGGCCGATATTGTCGTTGGAGACGACTCAGTGGAAGAGGTGGTCGGATGTTAAATGATTGTGACTGTACCGTGACCCCAAGCATCACTGATTACATCCATATCAGTTAATGGTTTGCCTGGTCAAGTCTCCATTATATAGCTTCTTATCGATTATTAAACAATCTTGAAAATTAAAGTTCGTTCAATTTTAAGGTTTTGGTTACCAGAAAGAACAATTATAATCTCATCAGCCAATGACATGTAGTTTAATTCAAACTATGTTCTGGATGTAAAATATTTAGCTTTGGCATTAACTGCATAAATTGCGTAGGCGCCAAAATCATGTACAGCTGAAAGTCAAAACATATGTACGTCACCTATTTAGAGCCATCATATTCGAGACATAACATTTCATTAAGAAATTAGTTTGGTATTAAGCAACCTCCACTGTTGTATGTCCACTTTACAAATTCTTATATTTCCCTAAAACACATGTCTTACTAATATATATAAAATAACTTATGTATGGATGTCTCTATTGGGCTATTAGCTACACATCGTCGTCTGAAAACCAGAATGTTCTAGGTCCTTAAAAAAACTATTTTCGAGAAGATCAATCTTGAAGTTAAGAGCAACAATATTTTCAAATATATTCGATCAAATTCTTTGGAACTGTGCACATACAGGTGTTAAAATATCAACAAGACTTAGGCAATAACCAAAAGTATGTTAAAGCTTTTGAAACAAATAAGTAATTAACGAAAAACACTTGGAGATAGAACACTCGGCCAAATAGATTTGTAAATTTTGTTCAGAACCAGAGTGTTCTATGTATCAGAAATGCAGATAAATCATTATTGTACGATTATTGTATGATTATTTCTACTGTACCAGGTTGTATTTGTGTTGTTTTAACTT